GGGGGGGGGGGGCGGCAGTTGTTAAACATCACTAGTTTGAAATTGCCAATTGTTAACTTCCTAAGTCAGGCAACATCTGTAACTAAAATAGCACTGTGGGCTTACCATTAGAAATTTGGCTTGCAGCCATTGCATTTTACTAAAGCTCCAAACTTCCAATAAAATATATCTCCCAATGGGTCACTGTTTTCTTTATTCAGAACACCCACGTCAGCCATTCTGATACACGTGGACATGGATTTATTCAAGAAGAAACACGCATTTACGCAATGAGAACCAACATCGCTGATCATTAACAACCTCCCGCTCCCCTCTCTCTCCCCCCACCCTCCCCTGAAACAAGACTACTTCTAGGTAACTTAATTCTATCATGTACTTTTTAATCTTTCTCTTTTGGCCTGTTTAAATGTAGACACGTTTGACCTGAAACCTTATGATTTCTTACAAACTCATTTTTATTTAATCTTTCATCCAGCCTGCTGATTATTTTCCCAGAAGATACAGAAGTTCCTTTTAAACTAGCCCCTTTTCAAAATAAAAAAAATAAACTAGCCCCTTTTCAATATACTTCAAACATATCTGAAGATCAAGCACTTGAAAGTTATGAGAAAGGGGAAAGGAAAAAGTTATCTTGCCTTATTTGTAGCAGTGGCACTGGACCCAGGGACCACAGGCACATTCGTCACTTGAACTGAAAGATAATTATTATCTATGAGTGGCCAAGCCCCTTCCACTTTGCATGTTTGGAAGTGGTCCTTGAAAGTTCTCAGGTGAGGATCTCCAAACAGGCCACAGAAAAGGTAACTGGGAGGGTTCTGGTCCCCTGCCCGGTGTTCTCTGGCTCCTGCGTGGCTGTGATAGGTACAAGGGTCATGGGTCACTTCAGGGTTGGTGGAGGATGTGGGTCCGTCCTTGGAACAGTTCCTCTGGCTCATAAGGTCACTGATACCCAACACAGCAGAATGGTACACCAGGTTGCCCCGGCAGGCTTTCGAAGTTCGCTGGGTGCAGCCTGCATAGGCACGCAGGGCCTTGCAAAACTCGGAGTCAAAGCCGTCAATGGCAGAGTTCAGGTGTGCAGTCAGGGCAACAAAGTCTGTGGTGCATTTCTGGATTCGACACTGCGCCAGCTGTTGGCAGTCACCTACGGGAAAGAAGAGGAGACCGAACATTTTAAAGTGCATCCTGACTCTCTAAGCTCCTCCGGGAAACAATTTGTTCTGTTTCACGTCCCCCTATTTTAAGAAGGCCTCCAGAAATAGAGTTACATTATACTCCTGTGCCTCTTTCAAATTAAGCTGCTGAGCACTGCAGGCATTTTGCTTAAAACTTTCAAGAGTGGGCCACTGGGAATGGACAGTGTTCTTGGGCTAAACTGCTAAGAGAGGGGTACATGGAGGATTTGATCAAGTTTACTGTTCATTTATAGGCTTTGGGAAAGTCTTCTGCTCTCAGGCCAAATCAAAGGCATGATCTTTGAGACTTTGAAAACTGCATTAAGTAAAATAATGTGCTTTAGAAAACACTGTAAAAACAGTGCTGCGCACAAAACTGTGCTTTAAGGCCTCCACGCCTTGGGAAAGGGAGAGAAATCTTAAAGTTAACCATTTCAGTACAGCGATAGAGAAAATCTCAATGAAATCCAGATAATAAGCTCCTCTGAACTATCTAAGGTATCTTTATCAGCCAGTTGTACGGAAACTGACAGTCTCTTGGGATCTATAAAGTATAAATGCTTTATTTGGAAAAAAAGTGATTCATTTGACTAAACTACATATTCACTTCTCCCTTCACCTTCAGCCTCATCGCCTCAGGGTTCTAGCTCCCTAGCACATCATAAGGACACTTACTATATTAAATTGCACTGCAGATAATAGATGATCCCACTAAATATGTATTTCAGAACCAGAACCAGAGAACTATAGAAGACACAGAATCTTCCAGAATAATTCTAACCTTACCTTTTTCCTGAACTGGCAAGTCATATACATGTAATGATTTAAATAAATCCAAATAAATATTTTAAAGTATTGATGCCCTATTTGAAAAAAATATTCCAAATGATGCTTTGCACTAGCCCAGTCTAAAAAAAAAAAAAAAAAAGTAACTACCGAAAGCACAAAAGCACATGCAATAACTGCCAAACATTCGGCAAGCTGTGTGCCCCAATCAGTGCAGCATTCTGTTCCACAAGTTGGCACAATGGAAGTCCTGAACAGAGAAATCTTCTTTATCAACTGCAAATTCTATGGAGATAAGTAACTACACATATTTTACTTAACAATTGCTTATAGGTCCTTAAGGCTGAGGGCTCTTAATCTCTTCAGGTCTTTATAGGGTTCTTATCTGAGAAATGAAGCTCCTGTTCTAAGATGGACTTGGCAATCCCCAACCCCCCTAACCCCAAAGTTAAAATTTGTATTCTAGATGAGAAAAAAAAATCATTATCGGCAGAATATTAAATACACAAGATGTGGTAAATAATGCAAGACGTGAGGTGCAGCAAACTTTTGATATCAAGATTTAAGGACTTCATCTCATCCAGAGTTAAAATTGCCCTTGACATTGACTTAGTAAGATATTTTCAACATTTCGGTTTTTAAGTATGAATTAAATAACCAGTAATCACTGCTTCTGGCTTTGGCCTGTTGAAAGAATTGGAGGGGCATAATTGATAAGCACTCCCGCCCCATCATGTTTTAAATATCAAAGACCAAAAGAGACTATTTAAACACTTTAGTTTATGTTCACTTATTTCAAAACTGACAAAAGTAGCTCCAGTATTTATAAAGTTCTTCTTGTCAGCATTTACACAGCTCTTAAATCATTTAATCTAGCTTTACTTAAGAAAACAAAAGAGAAAGCGGTCCAAAGGGATGGAGAAACCCATTTTCGAGATGGGAAAATCAAGGCAGGTTATCAAATTCCTCTAATCCTCCCTCCATAGGTCCTATTTACTACAAACTCCTGACACGCAGAACACAACGATGACAGTTACTCATTTATTTTTCCTTTTAAAATCAGATTCACAGTGAGCAGAAATCAAGGAAATAAAAAGCGGAGGTCAAGATCACCAGACAACAAATAAATGACAGCATAAGAACTTTCCGCTAACCTTGTAGTGCCTACTTGCTCTTTTTATGGTCTATAAAAACTACCCGAGCATACATTTATGGATAATTATTTCAAATAGTCATAAAATACTAAAAGTAAGAACAGAACTAAAAGTAAGAGCTGCCCCTGCTCTGAAAGAAGGAGAATATGAATTCAGACCCCAGCTCTTTCATCATTCCCTCTTTCTCCTTTTTTTTCATCACAGGTAGGTGTCAGATCCTTTGGGAAATCTATTATCAATCAGAAACAGAATTCCATAGGCTCTTTTGCTTTGGGGACAGTTTCTAACAGTGATTAAGGGAAGAGGGAGGGTAAGTGGGAGAGAGTGCTGTATGGGTCAGCAGTTTCAGCTCCATCACAGGCTCTTGTATAATGACTAACTTGCAGCATACACCCAGAAATATTCAGCCATCATGAATTTATAATGACAATGCACACTCTGCCTGTTACAGGCAGTAAAGGAAACCTCCTGTCAAAACGCCAAGACAATGCGGAGCAGAAACAATTTCAAGGATGTAGCCAAGAAGGCCATGAAGTTTATGAGTAAGAGAGGAACTCCCATATTGGATCTCCTTTTGCAGGAAAGGAAAAGGGTTGCTTTCACGGGACGGCCATGGTTGGGGCAGGTAAATAAAGGCACTCTTTTCATTTCCCCAGCACACAATTCAAAAGTATATCTATTTTGTGGGTCAGGTCATCTATGACCAGTGTGATAATATTTTCATTCTAGCTAATGAAGGTGCTAAAGGATTTGTGAGTCTGGAGCTCTCACTAATGATTCAGACATGAAAGTGTCACCGTTCAAGGGTGTTTCTCTTGCCGGGACAGCACATGTGAATTTGCTGCACAATCACCAGTGTATAATAAGAGAAACAAGATATGGTAGCATGCATTAAGAGAAATGGGGGCCATATGGAATGCGGAGGTTAATGGTATGGATCCAGGTTCAGAACATAGGGTAGCCCATCTGCAAAGGGCACTCTGCTAGGCTCCCTGCTCTGAGACAGAAGCCCTGCATTTCATTAGTGCCTGGCTTTAAAGAAATCTCTGAAAAGCAGCCCTTTGCTACAACCAGATTAATCACTCCACTCCAACAAGTTGTCCACAGAAATCACTCAACACAGCAACTTCAAGTGGAATCTCGTGGTGAGTTCAGTGAGGTCATATTAAAATACCAAGTGAAGTTTCAAATTCCAAGGTCTTGATCTAAGGTACCATAGTTTTCTAACTCTTTAAGCTCATTTCTTAAGCTCTCCTGGGCCAGCAAAGAAATCTTCAAGACTGCATTCCAACCCTGACACAGGAGCCTGTGGTAACTATGAAAAACCATATCCAAGCAGCCAAGAGGCACGCATGCAGATCCAAACTCCATTTTGTGAAACCTATGACCGGACAGCAGTGCCTTTAATGGGATATTTGGTTATGGGCGCGTTTCTCACCAAAAGCACCCCCCCCCCCCATATATCTAGATACATCAAGAAACAGTTGTCAGCAAACGCCATTGTTTTCTAAGGTTCTGCAGTCACCAATTAAAGGGCTTCATCCTTCTAAAACTTGCTATTGCACTTCGTATTAAGCATGTGGTCTCCATTCTCCCAAGTGACAGTGTTAAAAATGAAAAAGAATAAAGGCCGCCTCCTTAAATGCCATACATTTATTTCCCCACTACTTAAGAGACCTCAGTGGGTTTTAGCACACTGGTAGGGTTCAAACGAAAATACCACTGTGCACATTTGGGTGGCATTAAAGTTCCGAACTCTGCGTAGCTGCGCACGGTGACCGCTGTCGTACGCGGAAAAAAGGCCTGGAAGGGAAAGAAATGTATCTAATAATGCTCTGGTTGTTCTCCAACTAAAAGATATGTCTGTCTCCCCCTTCAGTTGTGCCATCAAAAACAGCCTGCGTATGCAAACTCGTGAAAAGACGTGAGGCTCTTCTTTGTGAAGAGCATCCTCGATTTCAACCGAGCAATTGTAAAAGGAAAAGAGGAGGAAGCACAAGTTGTAGGCCTGCTACGCTGGGCAGAGATGCCCCGCGGCTGCCTCCACAGAGAACGTGCGACCTCCACAAAGCAGCAGCAGAGCTGTCAACCTCTCCCACGCCCCAAAAACCCGCGGCCAGCCACGAGGCACCAGTTTGGCCAGGGAGGTTGAAAAGAAGCATTAAAAGCAGCTTTTACAAAAGCGAAGGCAATCCTCGTTCAAACCAAGTTTTGGTTACTGCACGAGGAACCCACCGCTTTTCAAACCCTGGTTAAAATCTTTCCATCTGGTGCGATTCCCTCGCCTGACCTCCCCCCCACCCCCCACCCCCTCGGACTCCCCCAACTCCAGGGAAGCAGCACAAGGCTCCCAGTCTCTCCTCCAGGGCGGCGGCGGCGGCGAAGGAAACCTGATCCGCGCCTGACTTTCAGTAAACACCAATGCAGAGAGCAATAAAGCATCCGGAACATTTGTCTCCGGCGCGCGGCTCCCCAGCCCCCGCCCGTTAAATCTTTGATAAGCAGCTGTTGGAGGAGAGATTTATCAACAGTCCGTGCCACCGGCGGCTGGGAGGGAAGGGGCCTCGCACCCGCGCCCAGAATGCGCCGCCCGCCGGCCCGCCCGGGGCCCCGAGTCCGCCAAGGTGCGTGCCAGGGCTCGGGAGGCCTTCCCCGTCCGCCACGCTGCCTTCGGCCCCGGCGAGGGCTTGGAGGCGGAGGCCGGTCGGGAACAAAGCACTCCCCGCGCTCCCCACCCCGTGCGCCCCGTACCTGCGTGGAGCAGCCCGAGGCTGAGCAGCAGCAGCAGCAGCAGCGCCAGGGGCGGCGGGCAAGGCCGGGGGCGGCGGTGCTGCTCAGCCCCGGCGGCGGCGGCGAAGGAAGGTGCTGCTCTCAAGCCCATGCCCGTCCATGCAGGTCCGGTGGGCTCCGGCGAGGGCGGCGGCGAGGGCGCCGTGGCGGGTCCAGGGCCGTGGCTGCGGCATGGGCCGGGGGGCACGCCTCGCTTCCTCTTCTTCCTCCTTCAGGCCCGAGTCGGAGACAGACCGCCGCCGCCGCCGCGAGGAGCAGCGCGCCGCGGGCGGAGCGAGGCGTCGGCGGCGGCCACAGGGCGCAGCGGCATCGCGGCAGTCAAGGGGAGAGAGGCGGGAGGGAGGACACAAAGACCATGAGCGAGTGCCCAGCGTGGGCGCCCAGGCCAGCGTGGGCTAGACGGCCGAAAGGGCGGGCGTGGACCGAACGCGGGCGCGCCCAGTCCCAGCAAGCAACCACCTCGGGAGGCTTGGGTGTCTCTGCGTAGGGTTCTCCGTCCCCGTGGTCAATCAATCTCGGACCCGCACTGCCGCCCCGCCCCTCCTGTGCTCACCAATCAGAACCACCTTCGTCCTCGGCCACGCCCCTCATTCCAGCTCCATTGGCTGTGAGTGCACAGCGGGCCAAGCCCGCCACTCGCACGGCGAGTGCCCGCCCCTACGCCTCCTCCCGCCTACTTCGTGTAATTCGAGTTGCGGAGTCAGTCTGCTGCGCTCGGCCTCGGTCTCCTACTTCTCCGCTCTAGCGATTTATTGTTTCATTGTACCCAATGGGAACTGATCATAGCAGCTCTGTAACCTCTCCAGGCGTTGCCGAAGAACCGGCCATTCACTTCTTAAGTTAATATGATCGAGCTCAACTTCCCTTCTAGTTTGTTTTTTTTTTAATTACTCACGCTCCGCCCCCACCTCCAGCTCCTTAAATGGCAGCGGGAGCTGATCCGAGTGCGGTGTGGCAGGTCCCTAGCAGCCAATGGCCTCTGCAGGACCGCAGTCCGAGCCAGTAGCTTCATTTTGTAAAACAAGCAGGAAGCCGCTTAAGAAATCTGAATTTGACCCGAGGACTGGGGATGATCGGTTGGGACTGGGACAAAACTGGGAAAGGTCCGTGAGCTACCAGCGGAATTTGGTAGTAGCTGAAGAAGCCTAGGGTGTTCTTTCTGTTTGTTTGTTGTTGTTTTTTTTTTGCGGTGGACATTTCCTTTTTGGAAATCGTCGGGGTCAGCGTGGGGGTGTGTGAAGGAGAGGGACTCTGAGGGTGGGCAAAATAACAGGTTCCAGTATCATTAGATTAATGAATTTGGGAGTCTGTGCAGTGTAGAATAATTATGCCACGATTTGTTATTAAATGGTCTGTTTGTTTACGAATTTCCATAGTTCTATTGACAAATGAATTCAAATGCAAACCTGTTCCTATTTTTGCTATTGGATAGATCCAAAAAGGGAAGAAAGAACCCAATAGCCTTCCGGGAAAGTACCTGCTAAGTGGAGAAACAGCATAAGCAGTTGTGAGACTGATGAAAGGGTCCCATTTGGTTAGAAGGTGTCAAGTGGCATCTAATCTCAAGAACAGTCTCCATGCTAGGTTCAAGAACAATTTAACACACTATCCGCCCTTTGCTGTTCCCCCACATGTCTCGGGGCTGCCATTTTAAATCCACTTACATGCACATCTCTGTTTGCTGTTCTGCCCACACAACCTTCCTCAGAATCTCACATGAAGAATTTTGTATCAACCCTGGACATGTTAAATATTTCACATTTTACAATGCTAATCAATGACCGCGATAATTGGGGGACAACACTCCAGTCACACTAATTTACTCACTAGACATAGTGTGACTTGCTTAAACCACTAAAACCACAATGAAGTATGGTGGTCTATTTTTACTGTAGCTTTGCATTGCTTATTACATACAATGATGACTCAAGTGGTAAATATAACTTTGAGTGTCTGAGATTATAATCCAATCTTGCATATAGTTTATAATATGAATATAATTAATAATAGCTTTAGCATTGCCTGGAGAAATGATTCTTAAAGAGGTGGCAGCTGATGTGATATTTAGATTGTATGGACTAAGAGTAGTTAAGAGTTAAAAATCTACTCCACATGAGTGGGTTAGTTTTCTTTTTGGTTTGGGGCTGAATACTATCAGAGATAAAATTTACTTTCTTGCAATTACTACCTCAAGAGTTGTTCTCAACCTTCCTAATGCCGTGACCCTTTAATACAGTTCCTCATGTTGTGGTGACTCCCAAGCATGAAATTATTTTCATTGCGACGTCATAACTAATTTTGCTACTGTTATGAACCGGGCGATCCCTGTGAAAGGGTTATTCAACCCCCAAAGGGGTCGCGACCCACAGGTTGAGAACCGCTGCTATATTTCATCAATGAGATAAAAATTAACCAAAATACTGTTAAAATTCTTCCAACAGAATATGAACATGTTTTTCAAAGCATTTTGCTTACAGTGTAAAACTCAATTTCTTTTTCTTTAATTCAAGAGTTACTTCCACCCCTATGAAAGAGGTTTCTCACCTAATCGTCCACAGTTCAAAACCTAGCATCAGAGTTAAGGATAAATAAATCCAGCCTGTCTCGCTTGTGACTTTCCCTGGGTTTTCCCCTGCTTTTTACCTTACTGTTCCCACCCTCCTCCCCCAATCCTGTTCATTATAAACACCGGTGCTCTAGATTGTCTTATCAACAGAGGGCATCCTCGAGTCACGCAAATCTTAGCGCCCTAAGACAGAACTGCTCTTGAGAGGAAAAACTTCGTCTCCTCTAAGGTGCTTTATTGCTTCTCTGCTGTAAAATTTGACAAGCCCAAGATTTATAAGGCTCACAATCCACTTTTTATTGCTGCATAAGTGTTTAGCCAGCTAGAGGAAAATGCTAATTTTCACAATTAACTGCAGGGTGGTTCCTATTTTCAAGTGTCAAGGCATTAGGTCAGTTGACACTTGATGGGTAAATTCAGGCTGTTAGGTCAGAATCCTCTAGAAAATCAAGAGGGTAGGCGAATTATTGCTCCTTAAACTAGACTGCTGGAAAAATAAGGGGAATTTTCAGATTCTACAGAGAAAAATTGGGGGCGGGAGCAGCATAAACAACAACTTGTATTCATTTTTAATTAGGAAAAAAATGTCGTGATTGATGGCATTTATAACTCAAATCCACCTGGCATTCTCTCCCTTCCTCTTTGTGTCAAGGAAGCAAAGATGAGATCAGAACAGGACCTTCAGGGAACCCAGCAAAGCATGGCACAGTATGAACGTGCCGGTGGGGAAAATTAAAACACATGCCAGAATCATTAATGGATTCTCAACAAGATGTGGTTTCTTTTCCCGAACCTAGACGTGATGTCTCAATGGTTGTTAATAGTATTTCTCGAGTTCCAGATGACACAAAAGTAATCTGCTTAATATTTCCTGTGGCAAAGGAGCCAGGAATCAGACCCTCCGTTTCGATTTGTGCAAACCACCCCGGAATAAGGGCTCCCCAGTCCACCGAGTCTGCAAACCCGGCTGAAACAGCCCCAGTCCCACGGCCCAACTGCCAGCAAGCTCGCGGTTTGTACTTACATCATTCTTAACCCTTCCGCTCCTGGTGGGGGCTCTGCGGGACCAGGGGGCACCAGACCTGGGTGTGAGAGATCAGAGTCTGGCGTGAGCACTGTGGCCCCGGGGGGAAACGGCCTGCGGCGGGCGGAGGGCTCATCCCCCGCGGACACCCGCCCGCCCGCGCGTCCCCTGCGGGCTGCGCCGCGGCGCGCACCGCTCCGAGTGGCAGGTGCAAAAAGCATTTGGGAGCCGCTTGCCAGCGCGCGGAGGTAATGCGCTTCCTGTCCATTTATCTCAGGAAACCGGCGCAGCCTTCCCTTCGAAACAAAATTAACCTCTCATTAGCCAGCCACTCATTCCCAAGAAGGCCTTAAAAGCTTTACCAGCTCTCTAATGTATTTAGGCTTTTCTTTTAGGCAGACATAGCAGCCATCAACGCCCCCGCCCCCCCACCCCCACAGCCCATCCGCCGGGTGCAGCTGTCCTCTGAGCTTCCAGGGAGCCAACTGGCTATTTCCCCTCGCAAATTGAGGCCACTCTGCCCCACTCTGGGGTCTCCTTCGGTAGGGCAGGGTAAACCCCAACGCGCCTCTAGAACTTCACGCAGCTCTTCCAGAAGCCGCCAGGGCAAGTTCCCACCCATTTCCCATGCACCCTCTCCCAGAAAAATCTCAATTCTCCTGGCCTCCAGGAACAAGAAGGGGCACCCGGAAAGACTTTCAATGACTCCAGGTCCCTAGGGGTCACCGTACTATTTGCTGTGGGTGCAGGGAGCCTTGGTCAGGGACATCCAGGCAGTGCGTACTGGGAGGGGAGAACCAAGAGCCTTCCTAGGTTTGCAAGTGGCGGAAAGGCGCCCTTTGGAGCGCCTGGGTTTGTCACCCTGGCCCCCTCCCGCGCTGGGGCTGGCAGATTTATGCCACACAGGTGGATGGAGACCTAAACAAAACAGTCCCGGTTGCTGCCTGCCGGTCGCCCCCCACGTCCCCCTGGCCCACCGCAAACTTCAACAAAAATAAACAACTCACCACAGGCATTCCCTTGTCTGCCGCGCGACGCTTGCCAGCTGGGAAAATAAGCCCGCAGCCACGCGGCCCGGCGCAGGGAGAGCGGAGGGGAGGGCAGGGGGATGGGGAGGCGAGGGGGGCAGCGCCCGGAGCGCTCCCCCAGGTGGGGGCGGCGGCGCCGCGGGCGGGCTGGGTGCCGCCGGGGCCACTCTCCGGATCCGTGTCTCCCCGGCTGCGCCCTGCCAACCCGAGCGAGATGTCCGCCACCTAGGGGAGAGCAAAGCAAGGCTCCCTTCCCTTCTGGCGCTTCCAAGCTGCTTTCCCTTTCCCCCCAAGGCTGCCAAACCGCGGGACCCTAGCCCTGGCCGGACACTCCCAGAACCAGACCGCCGCCCCCAAGGCAGTGGCCACCCTGCACGTCCCAGAGAGCCTATGGATCGAGGAGTGGTGGCGCCCCAGACCCTAGCCTCCAGGTCCCAGCCTAGCTCTCACCTCTCTCACCGCTCCTTACCCGCCCCACAGCTACACAAAGACGCCTTTCACGCCGCCCGCGCCACCCTCCGCGCCGCGCCGCCCTCCCGCACTGCCTCTGCCCACCCGCGGCACCAGCCGATTCTCAGCCAAGGCCGGTGCCAGCCGGCGCCGCCGGGCCAGGACGCGTGCTAACTGTTCTCACCTAGAGCCTGGATCCAAATGTACACCCCCGCCCCCAAACTCGCACTAATCCGAATGCACTCCGCCCTGCACACCCCTCACCCTCAAACTCGCAGCCATCCAGTCATTGCGGACCCCCTGCGGGTTTCTGAGACTAATTGTTTGAAAGAGTAGAAGGCCCAGGCTTTCTCCCGTGGTTTTGAACTGCTGAC